CCTTACAGATGGATGCTTCATTCAATAAAACTGTTATTCTATCCTTCAGTTTACTAACCATTACAGATATTCAGTAGAAATCAAATATGAGCTTTTAACTCTGTATAATAACTCTTCTTGCCTATCGTATAATATTCCTTACAGATGGATGCTTCATTCAATAAAACTGTTATTCTATCCTTCAGTTTACTAACCATTACAGATATTCAGTAGAAATCAAATATGAGCTTTTAACTCTGTATAATAACTCTTCTTGCCTATCGTATAATATTCCTTACAGATGGATGCTTCATTCAATAAAATGAAACTCTTTCTTACAGTAATCTAGATATTAAATATGTTCCTAACCATTAATAATGATTAAAGATGATTGCTAAAAATTATGAATAATCGTTTCAATGGATAAAATAATAATGGTTTTTGTACAGTATATTAACTATTAAGAATAATTATTTCATTTAATAGAATTGTTGTTTTCTTATAAATACTAACTTCTAGATAAAGTTCTCTCGTTTCAATCAATTAAGTTGTTTTGTTGTTGTTTTTTGCAATGTGTAAACTATTAGGGATAGTGATTTTACTTCATAAAATGTTTATTTTTTAAGATTCTTCCTACTAAGGATTAGGATTGGCGTTTCGGTTATTAGTATTGCATTTTTCAACAGTATACGGACTACTGCCGTTTCAGGCATTGATTTAGATCTCCAAAGCTGTCGCTCTGTACATTAGAATATTTTTTCTAGAAAGATAATAAAGTGTGATAGAATACTGTCTGAAAGCAAGACTAGGCAATAAAAACATGTTTTTGATATTCATGATTTTTTTTTACATATGCGTGTATACGTGGGAATTCGTTCCACTGCCCCTTTTCTTGAATAGGTATAACAAAAAAAGAAAATCCCTTTACATTTTATTTCTTTTATCTGAAAATCGTAAAGAAAACAGTCATAAAACACATTTTTGATACAAAATTTATTGTGGTATTTTACCCTCAGTCCCACGTTTCGGTATATGTCCTTTTTAACTCTTTACAGTGTCACAACTACAGGCATAGTCTAATGTGATTAATTATGAAGTATCTGATCAATGTGTTATAGACTTTGGATTTTTTTTTATATTGTGTCTACTTACAATGTGAACCCTTGAAAAATTTATATATTAAAACTTATTTTATATTTTAGAACTGTATTTTAGTTCTCATTCTTGTACGTGGTTTTAATGTTCCATTAAGTGCTACAAAATTTGAAAAATAGCTGAAAATATCTCTAGAACATTTGTAAAATACCGATGAAATAAACAGTTGTACTATTTCAGGTTTGTGCTATACATTTGAAATCCAGTTAAAACTGAATCTTTACCTCAAACAAAATAGAATGACTTGAAATAATACATTGCATCACGTTTTACGTGCTTCTCACTGAATAGTTACTTTTTTATTTTTTGTAAGCTTAACAAACCTTTCAAATCACACTCTTTTGAGAACATATATGTAACTGTTTGAGAATATCGATCTAAGATTAGCAGGAATACGGAACTTGTTGAATTCTTACATAAAAAGAACTCTCGAGCGAGTCGAACTCCCGACGAACTCTTCAAATTAAAGACGTTATCCTAACTTGAAGAACCAATACTCGTGAACAAGGTGCTCTTTATATTCATGGATAACTTTAGCATTCTTAATTTTTCTCTCCTTTTTAAAGAGATTCGAAAATTTAAAGTTTTTTTTTTTGTCGTTTACCCATTTCATTATGTGTAACCTCTGATGAAACGTTCCTGAAAGATGAGACAACGGTTATCGTAACTTATACTACACCAACCTCTTCCGAAATGAAATCACTTTGTCATATATGAAGGAAAGTTTCATATTTCGAGAAAACTAAAATATGGCTTCTCTCAACGTGTGTGTTCTTATCGATCAGCGTAAAGGACTGTGTCATAATGAAGTTCACTGTTAAGTGCAACATTGTTATCGGATTCAATACATAATCCATGAGATGAATGGTTAAACAGGTAGTTAGACGAAAGAATGTAAATATTGACAAACAGATAGATAAATATGTAATAAAATTGTACAGTCTCAATCTTAACTTTAAATAATACAGATATTCCTATTCTACAATATCCGATACGTAATTGTATCAAGCCATAACATGTGCACTTTTAATTATAATACTAAACTCTGTTCATAACTAAAGAAATTCCTCGTTTTATGCTATGATCCTAAACTTTAACTTCAAAGAAAGAAAATATCTGGTTTTCAAGTTGTAACTACAAGATCTGTTGTTTCTCACAAAGCGTTTCGAAAACATAGTTCTCGTTTTTTCATGCTATAGCTTTTTTAAAACGTGTTCAATTAATGAACAGATTTTCATCTTCAAGTTGCCATCACAAACTTCGTATTCAGGTAAACTTGTTCAACAAATGACAAGATTTTCATCTTCAAGTTGCCATCACAAACTTCGTATTCAGGTAAACTTGTTCAACAAATGACAAGATTTTCATCTTCAAGTTGCCATCCCAAACTTCGTATTCAGGTAAACTTGTTCAACAAATGACAAGATTTTTATCTTCAAGTTGCCATCACAAACTTTGTATTCAAGTAAATGATGTAAATATTTGTCTTAGTCATCTAATCTTAACCTTCGTTTCAAATTCGGTAGATTACAGTTCTCAAGTAGTAATCCTAAAGGTTCTCTTGTGAAAGATATTTGTAGACTTTATACTGTACTTCGAAACTATTCCCTACCCTAAGCTTTGTCCCCAAGTAGAAAGATTCAATAATCCCTAGCTTTGCTCTCGCTGCAAATAAAAGAGATTTATTGTTGAAACCTATGCATGATTAAATATTACTAAATCTCCTACAGTAAATAAATTAACGAGTATATAATTGTAGTTGAATTAGTTTCCAGAAAATATATGTTTTTCTACTAGTACCGAAAGTGTCTCAAATTCGTTATTATGAAACTTATTTCATGTCCTCCAATGTCCTGTTACCATTTACCTGGAAGAGATAAGTACCACTTGTCTAATGTAATAACATAATTAGATTTTAAGTTATTTATCCGTCTAAACACAATGTTTTAAAATAGCTGCGAGTATTTTGTCTGGAAATTTGAGATGTCATCGACTGTTTGAAGATACTTTCATCGAATGGTCACTATGAACCTGCTACGGTTTAGATATTCGACTTTATAATAAATAAAGCACATTAAATAATGTAGTCTATTATTACTGTCATAATGCTTTCAGCTGGATTTGAAAAATGAGCATACGTTTTAGTCAGCTTAGAAACAATAGATTAAAGATCTTCTTATAGTAAGTTTTTATGCGAAAATAAATAACTATATAGAAAGTACTAAATCTTTAAAATATCATTATAATGAATTCAAGGAAGAAAGAGAAAAGGTTGTGTAAATATATTCCTTCATGTTTTAGACAACTGTTCGATATATTTACTAAAAGTACGAATACTCATCTAAACAACGAAGTGCTTCCTCATCGAGTTTTAAATAATAAACACAAATCATTATTTAGTTTAAGTGGCTTACAAAAAGGAAAGGAAAACGTTGTTCATCAAGTAACTTCTTATGCAATTAGGAGTAATATTCAGTGGAAAAGCAATTAGGAAAACTTTGTTTTGTTTAAAACTTTAATTAAATTTGCATCATCTTCAATGGGAAGTGATAGAGTGTATTTTGAATGAGTGCGTATATACTTTAAAAAAAGGTGCAAGAGTTTTTTTTCAACGTATTGGAAAGTTAGTGTTCAGCCATACTTTAGCAACTTGCTACACTCTTAGTTGTTTTTTGTATCTTATTTCAGATTTTTTTTACTCTCTCTGTCATTAAACCATGAAAATTTAAAGTGTATTACCATCCAAATAAAGACCAATCATATTTCTATCTGTCCACAGATTTATTCATTCTGATTTGCAAACACAATATATTTATATATTCCTTCCGTCCAAGCACCGTCGCTCAAACCATGAATTATTCTTCATAAATCTGCTGTCGTATTTCTTCCTTGATGAAAAATAACCTTCCTCTTGGCATTCACCGCGTGCCTTATGATATGACAAACACATCAAGGCAGACGATGAACACGGAGAGTCAGACAAGTATCCCAATGATGGCAACTTATCAGAGGGACGCTTAAGGACTTGCCTAGCAACACATCAAGTCCAGAGATGATCTTAGCTGGCAGCCAGGCAAACGATGACTCCAGCATTTATTATTACCTGAAGGCATAAAATAACACATTTCAGAGGCGGCAAGCAAAGTTATGACGTATCAAAAAATTTAAAACAGAAGCATATGTTTCTATTATCTTGATAACAAATTTAAAGAAGCCAAATAGCAATAAGAACTGACCAACTAGGAACTGCCGAAGACATTTTAGCATAAACAAATTTAAATATAAAAGTAGATAAAACAGACATAGAAATACCAACAAGAGGAAAGACAGTTTACTACAACGAGTTTGACTAGGTTAAATAGTACGTTTAATATTATAATTGGAAAAAAATGGCAAAATAGGTTCTAAATTATTCTTCTAAGCCCAATAAAACTTTTACTTGTAATATATTTTCTTTCAACTTTATTTTTCAAACTTTAAAACAAAATCGCTTGTGAGCTGTTTTACTTCATTATATCGGACTCTGTCTTTTCAAATTGTTATGAATTAAATTAACCTGTGTTGTTGCTGATGTTTATCATCTTACATTAATATATTTCAGGGTTTCCGCTCCCCCCCCAAAAAAACAAAACAATTAAAATGTAGTTTGTGAAAAACCTAATCCTCGTTCTCAGGAGTTTGTTAGATATGATCGCAGAAATTTCGTTGTTTTAGTAATACATCTCATACAAGTTTAAAGTTTAATGTATTTTTCAAAAGAAACGTCTGAAGAACACTATTCCATGTTAGAAGCTAGCTCCTGCACCCCTCGACTGACCTGTAAACTTTAGGAGTAAATAACTAGAAATCGAGGTTAGATACACACTGCAGACATAGCGCACAACCCATTGCATAGCTATGAGCTTAAACAAAATTCAAACAAGTGAAGATTACTAGCTTATTCTTGTCTAAGTAGCAAGTTTACTTTGTCACGTATGAAGCCACGTATCCGTATCACATCCATTCCAGGTCAAGTAAACTCGAGTTATTTAATACAACAGTGTAATATATTTTCAGACAAACAAAAAATTACCATCTCACTTCAAATTTTTCAGAGTGACCAAAGTTTGCAACAGCAAAAGGAAAAAGAAAAGAGCGAAAATAGCTCGCATGTCAAAGTCGCTCAAGTTAAGTTTTTCATCAAATAAAAATACACCTAATCATTACTTTTTGTTACATGCATACGGGCAACATAAACGGCAAATATGTAAAAGATTTTGAAAATACAACTGCTATGCTGTTGAAATTCAAGCAAACAGTACGAATCTCTCCACATACTGCGAAAGAACGATTATAAACAGCATGAATAACGTGAACAAAGAACATCATTCTAAAGGGAGTAAATCAAACGAGTAGTTGTAGATGAATAAACATTTAGAATATGCATTTGGGTACTTTCATTAAAGATGAAAAAACTCAAAGTATATAACCAATTTAAAACTTGTTACGAAAACGGCGGCTATAGCTAAGAAATTCAGAAATAAAATAATTGAAAAGACACTGCTTTCTTATTCAGAAATCTGAAACTGACAAATTACATTAAATCACACATGTATAATATGCACATTTAAAATTGTTCTTCTATGTACAGAATAACATGATTTAAAAAGGTTTTAACCATGTGAATGACTTAAAATTTAAAATGTAAGCATTAGAATGTCAAAGAAGCATCCAAGACATCTCGAGAAATGAATAAGAAGAAAAATTTCAAAATGATTCATAATCCAAAATTAAGTATCAATGTTCCAAAGAAACATATTAAGTCGTCAAGAAATTAATGCCACTTTTATTAACCACCTCCCAAAAACGTACATCACGTATAGTAGTTAAACGAACCACCTAAACGTCACGTTAGTGTAGCCTATATAATGTG